AACATGTCACAGTTGTGTGTGTATGAACTTGAATGGCCTGCACACAATTCTGATCATCCGAACGCAAAGATCACGGGTGCCCAATACGTCGATCGTGATCGACTGGTAGCTCGCGGATTGGTCCCAAGTTCGCTAAAACATTTGTGTGTCTGTGTGCATGTTATGAATGCGATATATTTTTGTGTTAGTGCACACTGCACCTTTAGGATCCTATCAGTCTCACTTTCACAAAAAGTATTTAAAAAAATAAAACAAAATCAAAAAGCAGGTCACCTTTAACCTACGATGGCGCGTGACCTGCATCACCAAAAGTTGTTGGCAGTCAGCAATCTGGAATGGCAGAGCTGTTGCGCAATATCTTTTATCGTTCTTGTTTTTCTCATTCAGATTTTGTTTCATGTACAATTCACCGAGGGAACTGGCAGAGAATGGGAATCTGGCATGCTGGGAGAAGCATTTTAAAGCGGTACACGTGAGCTCCAAAAAAAAAAAAAAAAGTGGTTCCCACGCCTCCAAGTCAAGTCTCCCACTCAGGTAGGCAGTGATTCCCTTTTCAGAAACTCTTGCGTCTTATTTATTTTTCTGTTTTGTTTATCTTCAGGGCCATCCGTTATGGCTATTGCTCATCAGGGCATATTATAACTGCTAAACAGATACATTTCTAACTTGTAACATGTACATGAGTCTAAAATATCAACTTCAATATTGGCTAATATTCATGGTGACGTTGCTAACTGATTGTTTGTTTATCCTTATGTTTAAACTATAAATGTCCTGCTTAGTTGGCCTGTGGACCATCAGTTTGAGACTTTGTTTGTGTTTGCCATTCTTCAATCTTCACTCACTCCATTCTCGGCGCTAAACCTGACACCCATGCTTACAAGCCAACACACAACATGCAAACTGTGGGCACATAAACGCGCCCAAAATAGTTGGAGTGACGCTCCTTTTTTCTGCAAGGCTTTTTCATCTTATCTGAGACACCCATCCTCCTTCTGAACCACCACCAGCCCCCCCAATGGTTGCCCGGAGCACTGTGATTTATCGAGGTTACTTTGTTGGCCTTTTGCCCGGGGTCTTAATTTCATCTGTAAAGCCCAATTAAGCAGGAAAGGTCTGATGAAGGGAGTGGGGGCGGGGGGGATTAAACCATGCTGGGAGACCTTTTGACATGTTCGCGCAACACCACATACCACAGATTGTTTTTGGTTTTTGTGTTCAACTCTGTCGCCATTCATGACTGTAGCAGCTAATGTTAGCCTTTGAGTTTGTCAATGGAGGTTGTACAGTATGTACATATATGGATACACTGTGTTAATTTAGACTTTGGAGGACTTTCTGGCCACTGTTAGGAAAAAGCAACAAATGAGTCACAGCATGTATTAGGTCAGCGGCCATGTTGGATGCTGTACGGAAAATGTACTTCTTTGCCCGATTCCAATGGAAGCCGGATCTGCGTCATGTAAACCGTTGTCATATTCGGATCACGTTGCTGCCAGACAGGCACAGTATTAGAACCCGTAAAAATACGCTTTCCTTTTTCTCTAAAACATTGATCAAGGATTAATCCTTCATTTTTGAATGTCCGACAACCCTTCATTTTGACCCTTCAAATTTTGGCAATTTATTAGTTTGATTTAGACCATTTTTATGAGGAGTTTTTGGTGCAGGTCATACTGTATGTGTGTCGGAATGAACAGTGTGTAAAGGTTAAACAAAACAATTCCCAGCATGCACCTGGGCTCCAGTGTCCTAAAATGTGATTACGTTTATGGCTTTGTTTTATTGCCATACAAGTTACGCTTATCACCATAATTGTCACAGTTTACAGTCTGATAAAGAATTACAGTAGCAAAGCATAACACCTTAAAACGTCTAGACAATCGTTTTCACAACATCGATAAGAAAGTACGAGCCAAAACCGAAGGTCATATTCATAGAATTCTTTGGGATAGGCACCACCTGAAATTTTCAGTCTGTTGTACTGTTAAAACCTTGGATTGTACAAAACGTTTTCAAATAATATATTTGTTGAATTTTTACGACACAACACTTTTTTTTTTGGGTACACCAAATGTTTTAAATACGAAAACTAACACTAAAACTGAACTAAAACTACGTAGCTTTGAAATAAAACTAAAATGACTAAAAATTAACAAAACAAACAATAATCATCCTGATTGTGACTGAACTGCATCATAACTAGGGTGTAACTGTGATCCAGATGTCTATTTGTGTCGCTATTTATTTACATCCCCTTTTGTCAAGTTTTATGATGTTTCTAAGACAGACAAAAAAATATATATATAATTTCATTGGAGAAAATTGAGTCGTGCAGTTGGTTAAACACAGAAGCCCAGGCACCGTTCTAGGTGAATGAAGCCCTACATTCAACAAGCCGCACTCCCAAAAGACAACCCTAAAATAGACGGCGGCGTCTATAAATACTCGCCGGTTGTGCTCCCGTTCAGGACTCTTATTTTGGAAACACGGGCCAGCGTTTTATTTTGGGACGCTTTGAGGATAATCACAAGGGGGTGGTATGGAACGGTGAGGCCCCCCTCAAAGAACAAATGGATGCCTTCCCCTCACTAATCAGGGTGATGATAGATACTCACAGGTTGCTGCGGAGACCAGAGGATACTTGGAAACAACATAACGTCGGCGGACAGTCGCATCCTACTGGGAAAGAGTCAGAGGACTGACGAAACTACAAACTAACAGGAAGGAGTCAGAAGGCTGACCGAATTAGAAAGTGACTAGAAAAGACTTAAAAAATGGCAATTTTCTTGCGATTATGATTTCCTTTGACAAAACTACAGCTTGTAGTATTTCAACTTTTGGTGTTTTCGGTGAAGTCCCAGTACTAAAATTATACATCGCTATAAATATCCTCCACTTCATCCCACGAGCATTTTGTGACGTTGGACATTAACACCTTGACTTGGACCCTAACATGATGTCTATGAATTATTTTATTTTTTGGGGGTGTAGATTATGTAAGCATGAGTGCATCCAGTACATGGCAGTAGAATGATTGGAAATATGATACCGTGTCCATAAAATGAGGTTTGCTAATTTATCTTCCCCCCCCTCCCCCCATGGCAACGCCCAGTGAAAGAGCACTTAATGGTGTGTGTAAAATGGAGGCTTTCAAGCGAATGCCCTTTTAGCCCGTTTTAGGCAATTAGATTAATGAAGAGTGAGACGCCGTATTGATACACTAATGGCTCTCCAAGGCATGCTAATACTGGTTTGGTATTACTTTATTGCATGTTCGACCAGCTTTTGAAGCAGACAGAGTGAATGTCATACTCTTTATTTGTTAGGGTACGCAATAAGTAGATTTGCAAATATTACATATTATAATGTTTGGACTTTTTTTCTTCCATTTTAACAACATAAAAATACACAAAGTAACAACAATAAAAAAAGTAATTGAAAAAGTGCAGAAAATTAAATACATAATTTACCAACTTACTTAGCTAGCTAGGTACCTAGCTAAATAATTTGCTACCTAGCTACCTACCAACCAACCTTACCAGCAACCCAACCTTCTGACATAGCTTCCGACATAGTAGATTGTATAGTTGTTGGTATAAATCATATCGGAATTGGAGCATCTTATCATAACCCGCGCGAGTCATAATTGGCGTGAATCCTCGCGTGTCACGATTACAGTGAAGCACATCATATATTGACTGTGTCGTATCGTAGTTGGAGTGACTCGTATCACACCAGCAGTGGCTTTAATTACATATCGACAGTATTGTGTTATTGGCAGTGTCTCAGTATTCATATCACATTTTATCCAGTGTTGAAGATGCCGTGTGTAAAGCTACTTTGTCTACACGGAATGTCCCATTTGTTACAGAGTTCAGCTATTGGCTCCAGGTCCCAAACATTCATTTCACATGTAGTCCTTTCCAATAACATCCTCTCCTGGTGTTTATATTGAAGAGAAACACGTGGCTACAATTGCTAACAGGTGACCGAGTGCATGCTACAGAGGCTAACAAAGCATGACATCAGTAGAGTGAATCGTATTGGAATTGGAATGAATCGTTTTCATCTTGCGTCATAAAGAGAGTCAATTACATCGTTAAATTTTATCATATTGGCTGGGAATTGGAGTGAAGCATATTGTATTGCATCCTAAACCTAATTCATCCTATTGTATCGTAAAGGGAGCAAACTGAATCGTATAGTAATCGGAGTGAGTTGAGTCATAATTGGAGATAAGCAAATTACAATATGCTGTAATTAGATTACATTATATTGTATCCTACATGGTGTGAACCGTTTTGAGATTGGAGGGAATCATATCGTATCACATCGTAAATGGAGTGAATCGTACCAAAATGTCACTGTCCTGTCACGGGTAATCGTAAAGGGAGTGAATCGTATTGTAATCGGAATTGATTGTATCACATTCCATCATAAACGGAGTGAATCGTCGCATAATTGTCGCGTGTCCTATCGTATTTGTAGTTATGCACAAACTTATCGTATCTTCAAAGAATCGTTTCATTCCTGGATTAAATCACATCATGATTACTTTGGCTCATCATAAAGGGAGTGAATCGGATCAGAATTGGCGTGAATTCCATCATATCCTATTGTAAAGCAATCGTAGCATAATCAGATCCAGTTGTATCATAATTGGAGTCGTGCCTATCCTTTCGCAGCTCAGTCGTATCGTCAATGCAGTGCAACGTAGCATCGTTGGAGTAAATCATATCTTTGAAATGTCATCTGAAATGCTTGCAAGGTCCTGTTGTCGTGCATCTTTTGTTTCACGTGTCATCTTTCCCCCAAAACAGTCTTTCCTGGTGTTTATATTGTAGTGGAACACATGGCTACGATTGCTAACACGTGAGCGAGTGCACGCCAGAGGCGCTAACAAAGAATGGCGTCAGTATTTGAATTGCATGTAATAAATGGACCCCCTCCCCCGCCTTTTAAGGCACCACCCCGACAACCCCACAGTAGTTCCTCTGTTCTTTTCCCCGAGTCCACCTTAAAATGTCCAACGAGGTCCAATGACTGTTGGATCGAGTCTCTCAGCAGCTCATTTACATTTCCGCCGGACGCCAAACATCTGGAGGTTTATAAACAGGCGTTGTGCGAGGGAGAGCGCCACAAGTCCTCACCCGTCGACATGAATCCGGTTCTGGTGGCGCTGGCCTGGTCCCTGGCGGTCTCAGTCCGTGCTCAGTTTCAGCCTCAGTTGCATGAGCACCACGACATGGGCTGGGTCAACGGTTACCGGCAGGGTTTCAGCTTCCAGTGCCCCCACGGTGAAGCCCTGGTGGCCATCAGGAGCTACTTCAGCGCTGCAGACGGTTCCGACCGCCTTTGGTCCTTTGAGTGTCAGCCCACGCCCGAGGGGCTTGGACACCCCACCGACTGCTGGTGGGATGACATCAACCGTGCCGGCCTGGAGTGGTAGGTGACCTTCTTTGTGGTAAACAAGGCTTCTTTTTTGAGAAAATACTGCATGTCTCCAGATCGTTAGCCTCATCGTATAAGTACCAAAGTTACTCTCAACTTACTTTTGCAGATTGCAAAAAAGTAATTCTCACAAAATTGTGGTTTTGTTCTTACATCTCTGTTCTTCCATCTCTCATTCATTAATTTTTTTCTGTCTTTGATATTAAGACAAATCAAGATTTCATTCTTAAAATTGACAGTTTTTATTTGATGTGACTTTTTACTCATGAAAAAATGTTTCTCTCAATCTCGTGACTTGTTAAATTTCTGTCTTTAATATTGCTACTTTGTCCTCGTAAAATGAAAATGACTGTGTCATATATCATAACGTTATGTCGGGAGAGGATTTGCTGTTGTTGAAATCACTTTCTTCTTCTACATTCTGACTTTTTCCCCCTCTTAAAATTGGAACTTTCCTCTCATAAAGTTACACACGTGTCTTCTATTTGTGGGTAGTAGGAAGCACATTTTGACGGTCCTTTGAAGGGTGCATTTTCTTTTAATTTTTATTAGCCACGTGCCAAATGCAAATGAGCCAAAAGCTCATTTTGACAAAGTGAGGAGCACAAAGTACAGATAATTGTTTTCAAATGTAAGGGAGTAAAATTAAAAAGTAACCCGAAAAATTAAGACTCAAGTAAAATTACAGAGCTGAACTTGTCATGTGAAATGGCAGCGGCTGCGCAACACCCGGTGAATGAACCTCCAGCAAAAGGCGAGCCACAAAAGAAGCGTCGTAAAGTTGAACTTCGGATTTACTGCCTCCCAGTTGACTTGATTCCAAGGCAAACACTCCATTAAGTACCACATTTACCCACCACGAACATACTCCAGGTCTATTTGAATGACCGGTCAGGCTAATAAAGCTACCAGCAATCCATATTCGAGCACAAACGGTGGAGCAACATCATTCAATCATTCAGAGGCATATAATCAATATCGTCGATGGACAAACGACTAATATTACTGAGGCTTGAGATAAGCATGTGACCATCGTTTTTTTTTTTTTGTTGTTTTTTTTGTGCATGTGTGCATTATACTGCACCCTAGTGGCCAAGCCAAGCACTCCAGAAGGAGCTACACGACAAATGCATGAAATCATGATGCACAATTGGTCCAATGGTTATGCTCTGTTTGATTGTTATGTTCCCCCCCAAAAAAATACCTCTTTGTCTTTGCAGGACCTCTAAGTGCACCCGTAATGGCCTGGTGGCAGGGGTGCAGAGCAAGTACTTTGAGAGCGTCTTGGACCGAGAATGGCAATTCTACTGCTGCTACTACGAGAAGCGATGTCCATACTCCTGCATGTGTGTATGCAGATATTTGGGGAAATATTTGTGTGCGTGTGCGTTTTTTGTGGGAAAACTCCACAGCATTTAGAATTTTCCTGTCGGCGCTAAAATTTAATTATGATTCATTTTCATGGGGAGGAAATTGCGGTTAAATCTGTAATGGCCTGGTGGCAGGGGTGCAGAGCAAGTACTTTGAGAGCGTCTTGGACCGAGAATGGCAATTCTACTGCTGCTACTACGAGAAGCGATGTCCATACTCCTGCATGTGTGTATGCAGATATTTGGGGAAATATTTGTGTGCGTGTGCGTTTTTTTGTGGGAAAACTCCACAGCGTTTAGAATTTTCCTGTCGGCGCTAAAATTTAATTGTGATTCATTTTCATGGGGAGGAAATTGCGGTTAAATCAGAAAAAAAAAGGTACATATTTACAGGCTCCAGGATTGAATTTTGTTGCTTTTCGCTGCAGGAAAACCACTGACATTCCTGAATACCACCAAGAGGAAGGCGAGCTAGTGGTTCCAAGCTACGGCTACTTCATCCGAGGAGCTCAGACCACCTTTAACGGAGTGCTAAGGTCTGTGTTCCAACGGGCCCTCTGAACTTCTTGGTTTCATCTTCTGCCGGACTTGACAGTGTTGTCTTGATATTTGCCCTCAGGGATCGCCAGTGGAAGTACATCTTGTGCAGGATGACCGACTTCGACTGTGAATTTGAGAATTTGTAGACGCGTCCGAGAGAAATGGCAAATTTGCCGCTACCCTTTGATATTGACAACCATGTGGTTCGTATGGTTACTTTTTCTGGGCCGAATACAGGTCCGTATAATTTTACTTGCATGCAAAACAGAAAATGCACATAAAAAAACTAAAAAACATTTAAACAACAAGCGGCATGAAGCTGCGGTCAGTTACAGGAAGTCCCTTTCATGTCGGTTTGGAAACTACACATGCGTATTGTTTGAAAACCACAAGATTAAAACCATAACTTTCTTCATTCCGTCGTGTAAGCTTTTTTTAATCCGGTCTGATGTGAATTTCTATTCTCCCACCGCGTGGCAGAAATAGTCCAACCGACTTAAAGCTCGAGGGGGTTTCACGCATGCTCCATTTAGTGCACTTTCCTCCTTGGTTCAGTTCACTCGGTCCGGTGCAAACTCCAGACATCAAACTAGTCGATCGGATTCCTCAAGAACTTTGGCGTTTGGGTGAGAAAACGATCCCACCTTGAGCTGATCCAACTGAAAGATGTATCAGTGCCTCCGGAATGTTCTAGGATTGGAAGTTAAGGGCCCAGCACTTCTTGGTAGTTCCACTGGGAGGACACCGCAGCCATTCCCAAAACCAGGCTCTCTTTAAGGAGGGCCCGGCGGTTGGGCCAGCTGCTTTTCAGTGCTTGTTTGTTTACGGCAGCTGCCGTCTCGGGGCTTGAGGCCAAACACCGCCACACTTGGCCAGCCCACTGCGCCACTGAGCCGCAGACTCTCGGCAAGCCACGCGCCTGGTGAGACCTCCCCAACAAGACCCCCACGGCCCCTGGCCCCCACACCTTTGAAAGACCCAATGTCGCTTGGCCCAGTGAGAACTTTTCTTGTTCTTTTGGGCCATCAATCTTTGACTTTCTGTTCAGTGGCCAGCAAACGTTCAGTTCTCATGGTGTGGGTGAGGGTGCGAGGGGAGGCTTGTTTGGATGAGCCCAAGTGGGTCAGCGCAATGCGGCTTGACATCACTACCGCCGGCTCCTGGGGCCTGCCTGTTTATTTTAGGGATTCTCCAGCCAGGACAAAAACAGCTGCCTATTTTGTCCCCCCCCCCCACGTGTGACAACAACTTCAGCAGGGTAGCCCGGACGGTTAACCACTTGACTTGTAAAAATAACATGATAACAATAAACAGTGCATTGTTCAGGGAAATATAGGACATATTTCTGGACTAATCAGTTTCGGTTGCTGTAAATTAGCGGGTTAGTTTAAGAGCAGAAAAAGGAATTTATTTACAACTTTTTTTATTTAAGTCCGCTTTTTTTGGGGTCAAGAGAGAGGAATCTTTTTTCCCATCAGCAGCCGTTTTGGGGTTATGCAAGATTTAAGAACCGTACGATGAGATGCTCGAACTAATGGCACAGTGGACGACTTGTTAGCAAATCTGCCCGACCTGGGAAGGTTTCAGCTCGCACGTGACCTTACTGAGGATAGGCGCTGTAGAAAGTGGGTAGCTCTTTGATTTATGAACATTTGGGGGTTAAATATTGGATACCGGGCCTCCATAAAATGGTTAGGTTCCCTACCCTTGATGATGTGTAAATCCAGTAAAAAAAAAAGACACACAATCATGTTTGTCACACACATCAAGTGAACCTTTTGGGTAAAATGAAACATTTGTGTCCACAGCTGCAGTCCCAAAGTGACTCTTGAGGAGCAGAGAGGACTCTCATATTTCTCCAAATGACATTAGCAGTAACCGCAAACGATGTTAAAGACGAGGACCCACTTCACCTTTACTAACCTTGGCTGCGCCCACTCAGGCACACACAAAGGCACACTCGCAGGCTGGCACAAGTTTGTGTTCCGTCCCTCCCATATATCCCACGCACGCCATTGTGATCATCCGCAACGTTACAACGTGTTCCTGTGCGACGTGTCTTTGCACGTGGGAGGAAGGCTGACAGCCTTTTGATGTCAGCCTTCCTTTCATTTTCAAACCAGGTTTCTCATTGGCTCGTACGAGGACTTAGGCCAAGGCAATTTATAAGAAAGAGCACAAGATGACCTCCACCAAGGCCAAACAGTCAAAAAATTTTCCACTGTAACTTACAATCATGACAATGACGCATGATAGTGATCCACTCTTTTCCCGTGGGTGGCTGTAGGATGCACATACCAAGTGTAGAGCGCCACACATTTTTCACCGTACATTTTGTCTGGTGGAGTTTTCTTTTTCCTTATGTTGTAAAAAGACGATGCTTTCCAAGGCGTATACACAAGAAGAGAACGAGAAACGAAGACAACAACTAGCACGAAGCCATGCGTTCTTTACTAGACGAGGTACTTCCGGTTTATGTAACCAAAATTAAAGTCTCCTAGGTTCTAACTAAAACGGAACATGACAAGATACTTCCGGTTTGTGTCGCCAAAATTAAAGTCCCGTCGAATGTAACTAAACCGAACATGACAATAGTGATCCACTCTTTTCCCGTGGGTGGCTGTAGGATGCACATACCAAGTGTAGAGCGCCACACATTTTTCACCGTACATTTTGTCTGGTGGATAAGCTAGTCCTGATATAAGTACTTACAATGTAAGTATTTGCTTACAAGGTAACTGATGAACCGACTGAGTTTAATCAACTAACAGCTATTAAAGGAAGATGTTACAGTGGACTGGTTTTGTATTTTTCCATGCTAACAACATAACAAACTATATAGCTCTCTAAACGATTAACACACCAGATAGCTAAGTAATCAAATAACAAGCTCTGAAAGAAAGTCATTGGTTATCTTTTTTTTGCATAATCCTGCTAACTAATGAATTCACTAGATCTATAACTCACATACTAGCCAACTACTGTAACTAACAAACTAACCGACTTATGTCACAAAGTTCCAAAATAACCAGATAGCTAACAAGCTGAGTGACTAAGGACATCAAATTGCGTACTTCTGTTCAGTAACTAACTAGCCAACTAACTGACTAAGAAACTAACAGCTAGGAAAGAGATGCACCATTTATATAGTTAGCATAATACCAAGAGCTACATGAGAAACAAATGACAAAACTAACTAACTACCCAGCTAACTAACATCGAAGCGAACAAACTAAACGAACAACACTGTCTCGTGGGCCACTGCCCCACCTGGTTCTGATGTACAAAATACGACTATGTGCTCCGTTCTCCTTAGTGGAACAATTCCAATGTTACTAGCAAACCAAAACTGTGGACTAATTGATGACTGCGTGCTCCTCATAGTGGGCATAAAATTATACTAATGACATAAAATTCTGCTAGTTAACATCTAGCACTTCACTAGTAATACCAATGTGAATAATGAGAAGTGAATGAGGCTCTCGGTGCTTGGTGAAGGTCATAGCGCGAGTAGCACATCAGCAGTCGGGCTTCAGACAGGAGCACATGCTTGACGGCGCGAGAAGAGCTTTTGTTTTGTGTGCACACAATACTGTCAGAGCCCGGCTCGGCTCTCAGATTAACGGCAGCGCATCGCTTTCATGCCGGCTGCCTTCACCTTTCACCCCTTCGCCGCCAACTCATTCCGCTTTTCCCGCCCGCCTGCCACCGTACACGGTGACGCCCAAAGAGTGGCCGAGGAAAAGCTGTCTGAGAGTTTACTCCGTATCATTGATATCCAGTTTGCAGTCCATATAAGTAGTCTACTAGTACACTCTTTGACCTCACTAGCAGTTTGAAAAGTGCACTATGAGAACAACTGCGTACTCGTAATGTGCTTTTTCCACTGTTGGATGACATATCGGCACACTCGAAGGACAACTTTGAGAATCTAGTAGGACAACTACATGTTACTAGTGAGCCAAAATGTTACTACTAGCACTACTACTGATGCGCTATTTTATGCCAGTCATAGTGTTAGTAGGACACAGTTGTCAACTTGCGCGGTTCTGATTCACTCGTAACATTTTGATGTCCTACGAGTTTGCCAATAGTGTGAGGAGCGTACTTGCATCCTCTTTGTTCTTAACGATAAGACAATAAAGCACCGTAGTAAAACAACTAGGGTGCACTAGTGTATTGACTGTCCTACTAGTAATGTTTTTCCACTACTAGTGCTACTTATTACCTACTAGTAAGAAAAAAATTACAATTTATTAATAAAGTACTATACTACGCTAGAAACACTGCTAGGCCTAAATTCTAAGTATGTGTCACACACTAGTAGCCTCCTGAGTCTTAACATTAGCCATTTTTTAAGTATCACAGATATCTCGATTAAGGACATGTATTAGAGGGCAAATGGTGCACTAGAAAGACAATTCGGTGCACTAGTAAAACAAATGTGACATAACCATAACATGTTGATGCATTCATTTAGCCTCACTCTTAATAACTTGTTATCCTACCATCCTGCGCCGTCCATCTCAACCGCGCAAGCATGAGTCTTTTGTGGCCCAAACGTGAAGGCTGGGAACCGAAGGAGCAACCCGGCTCACCTTACGCCTCCCTGGTTCCCACACTGCCCCGAGGATGCTTTTATTATTATTTTTCTTAACCCTAAATCTCCACCGTGATATTACCCGACACCCCAAGTTGGACATCACGAGGGCAGAGTGTAAACACTCGCGCCGAGCTCCCTCCTGAGATTTCCCAGAAGAGCGGCCATTCCCATCCCACTTGTGTTTTTCCTCCTTAAATGACAGGGAAGGGGGAAAAAAGGGACCATTCCTAAGCAATTTTTTCCCCCGTATACAAACTCTGGACATCTCTAATATACTTTATCTACGTATTTAAGGTCTATACACCGCAAATGTAACATGTTTACATCAAATTTAATGCCGTTACATATTTACGTACTTAATGTAATACATACTTCTAATGTACAATATTTACATAATGCACACAAAATACTTCTATGGACATCATATTCTATTTAATGTCCTACTGTATATGCCGAAAAAAAATCAGATTGCATGTCCTTCCGGTAGTGAGTGAGTGAGTTTATTGGTTAGATACAGATTACACATTTCTTACTGGAGCGATTTGTGTCACAGTTAGCGAGTTGGCTAACTGTTCAAATTGTGTAACCACCTGCAATTAGTCAGTCAATCGGTCAGTTTGTTGATTTGGTGGTTGGTTGTTCTCATTTTTTTTCAAGAAGAGTGTTGCTGTGTTAACATGCATGTCAGTCATTAAGTTAGTTGGT